CTTGTTGTTCCCTTGTCCCTGGGTTTGTTAACACCTCTTCCCTTCCCCCCACCTCCCAAGACAAGGCTTTCTACTCAAGTAAAGAGTTACCAAAGTTGGACATTGAATAAGAAAGACCATGGAAGAGTCGATGCATTTGAATTGTGGCGCTAGAGAAGAATATTGAAAGTACCATGGACTGCTAAGAGGACAAACTGATCTGTGTTGGAAGAAGTAAGACCAGAGTGCTTCTTAGAGGCAAGAATGGCAAGACTTTGTCTTACATATTTGGACATGTTATCAGGGGAGACCAGTCCCTGGAGAGGGGCATCATGTTTGGTAAAGTGGAGGGGAGGCGAAGAAGAGAAAGGCCCTCGCCGAGATGGGTTGAAACAATGGCTGCGTCAATGAGCTCAGGCATAGGAACAATTGTGACGATGGCACAGGACCGTGCAGTGTTTCCTTCTGTTGTGCATAGAGTTACAGTCTTGGAAACGCACAGGGGCAGTTGTACCTTGTTCTGTAGGGTCGCTCTGCGTTGCAGCTGACTCAGTAGGAGTGAGAGAGTTTGTGAGTTGTACACCCTCCATTTTAGTATTACCCTAAACACAAGTTCTCCTTGGCTTTCCGGTAATACATCAGGAGGCACATGATGGGAATCCACCTGGATCACCCACCACACTGAGGCGGGACACAGGGTGTGTGCAGAGGAGCAGCGGGGGGAGCAGAGCGGTGAGGTCCCCAGGGAGTACCAAGAATAGACTTTGGGGCCAGGGCTTGGCGTCCCAACAGACTCGACTGGAGAACACTCCTGAAGGTCAACAAACAGTCCTTAAACTAACTACAAGCTTTTCTTTCTTGTGTTTTGTTTTGTTTTTTGGTCATTGGCTTGTTGGTGTTGTTGTTTTATTTGTTGCTTGGTTTTTCTCTGTCTTGTTTTTGTGCATGTTATTATCTCCGCAGGTCTGTCTAAATAAGATAGTCTGAATGAACACTCTGGAGGAGAAAACAACAGGACCAACAGTTCCAGGGGGACATGGGAGAGGGGGAGGTGGGAGGAAAGGTAGTGG